GCAGCGACCGTTGGCTGGAACCAAACAGAATCACTAAGGGAGAATGTCACCAGCACACCGAGGATCACCAATATGGATCCAAACGTTTTAATGAATGATCACATAGTTACAGCAAGGCAACGTTTCGTAGTCTCACAGGACCCCTTCATCAGGCATGTGTGACGATGAAGGGGTCCTGGGAGACTCCGAAACATTGCCTTGCTGTAACTATGTGATCGTTCATTAAAACTTTTGGACTCATATTGGTGATCCTCGGTGTGCTGTGCTGGGTGACATTCTCCCTAACCCCACAAATGGACATAAATTCCCATAGACACTCATAAATCTTGTAGGAAGCTTCCCAGAAGAGTGGATCCAGCTCCACAACGACATGGTTGTACCAATTTGGGGTGGAGGAACTCCAATGTCCTGCACAGAGCCCTGACCTAAACCCTACTTTTGGAAGACCTTTGGTATAAGGTTTTCTCATCAGTACCTACCCTTAACTGTACCAAACGTCTTTCGGATGAGGTCTTCTTATCCCAAAGGTGTACACTAGGTTTGAGGTCCTGGAGGAACTCCAATGTTCTGCACAGAGCCCTGACCTCAACTCTACTGAACACGCTGGGGATGAATTGGAACACCGATAGTGAGCCAGGTCTTCTCATCTACATAAGCTTCCCAGAAGAGTGGAGACAGCTCCATAAGGACATGGTTTGACCAATTTGGATGAGGTCTTCTTATCCCAAAGGTGTACAATAGGTTTGAGGTCCTGGAGGAACTCCAATGTTCTGCACAGAGCCCTGACCTCAACTCTACTGAACACGCTGGGGATGAATTGGAACACCGATAGTGAGCCAGGTCTTCTCATCTACATAAGCTTCCCAGAAGAGTGGAGCAAGCTCCATAAGGACATGGTTTGACCAATCTGGATGAGGTCTTCTTATCCCAAAGGTGTACACTAGGTTTGAGGTCCTTGAGGAACTCCAACGTTCTGCACAGAGCCCTGACCTCAACTCTAGTGAACACCCTGGGGATGAATTGGAACACCGATAGTGAGCCAGGTCTTCTCATCTAACATAGGCTTCCCAGAAGAGTGGAGCAAGCTCCATAAGGACATGGTTTGACCAATTTGGATGAGGTCTTCTTATCCCAAAGGTGTACACTAGGTTTGAGGTCCTGGAGGAACTCCAACGTTCTGCACAGAGCCCTGACCTCAACTCTAGTGAACACCCTGGGGATGAATTGGAACACCGATAGTGAGCCAGGTCTTCTCATCTAACATAGGCTTCCCAGAAGAGTGGAGCAAGCTCCATAAGGACATGGTTTGACCAATTTGGATGAGGTCTTCTTATCCCAAAGGTGTACACTAGGTTTGAGGTCCTGGAGGAACTCCAATGTTCTGCACAGAGCCCTGACCTCAACTCTACTGAACACCCTGGGGATGAATTGGAACACAGATAGTGAGCCAGGTCTTCTCATCTACATAAGCTTCCCAGAAGAGTGGATCGAGCTCCATAAGGACATGGTTTGACCAATTTGGATGAGGTCTTCTTATTCCCAAAGGTGCTCAGGTTTGTGGTCCTGGTGGAACTCGAGTCTTCTGCACAGGACACTGATTTCAACCCTACTAAACACCTTTGGGATGAATTGAAACACTGATGGCAAGCCAGGTCTATTTTTGGTTCTCAACATGTGAGCCAGGTCTTCTCATCCAACATCAGCAGCTGACCTCAAATTCCCTCAGACACCTCCAAAACCTTGTGGGAGGTCCTCCCAAGAGTGAGTTATAGACACAAGGTGGGGGGGGGGGGGTCAGTAACTCTATTATTGGCCATGGTACTGGAATGCCTGACAACCTCATCTAGGTGTGATAGGTGTCAACATACTTTGGGGCATACAGTGTTCGAGGTAAAAGATTTGCCTACGCATGACATGACAATTCCAACATTGTTGTAGTAAATCCAGCAAGAAAAACATCGGACTTCAGGATGAGTTAACCGTTTTGTAAACTTTATCCAAGGCCAGGAAAACTGGAGGGAATACTCAGCCAATACACACGAGGCTCTGTCCACACGGGGGGGGGGGCGTTTATTCTGTTACAAACGGAGGCACTAAAATGGCAGAACAAAATGCTGCCAAATCCTACAAAAGGTACCCAGAGGAGCGACCTCCAGCCAGTACAGAGCTGGTGGAAAGGGGAGGGGAGGGGGGGGTCTCTGTGATTGGCTGGAACGTGCCCCTCTCTCTGTCTCCCAATAGATCCCTCTAAAGGCAGAGGGAGGTATTACAGCAGGATGTAAACACAAGTAGGGAGGCCGCAGATCGTGGTGGAGGGGGGAGGGGCGCACACTGATCATGTAAGGTACCGAGGTCCATTCAGTCTGCTGTAGCCAACAGGGAAAATGACAACTAAAAATAAAAGGGTAGCCACCCACGTATATGAAATCGGGGGCTCTGTGAAATGCCCCACCCCTTGGGACTGTCTTTGTAAGAGCTCCTCGCTTTTTTTGACAAAATATCCATTTATTTTTTTAACAATAAAGTTTAGATGTGTGGTTGGGAGGAGTTAAAAACAATAATTTTTAACGCCCCTCCAAGCGCCTCCCCCCTTAAAGTGAAACTTCACTCTCTCAGTCAACACCGACTCGTAATCCTTATGCAGCTTCATAAATAGTCAGGAAATTATATCAGATTGATTTGTTCTGAACTCTTTTTTAACATTTCTTCACTTCCTGGTTTCTGGCCTAGACAAATGATATCATACATCCCAGAAGTCTTCAGGAGAGGAGGAGGAGTTTTCTCAGTTAAGCACACCCTACATGCTTGAGTTAAGGGCAGATAGATTCCAGGAAGTAAATGCTAAATGAATCATCTGCCCTTACTACAGATGGCCATAAATGCTGGGGGGGGGGGTTTCAATGTGATTTCGTAGCAAAAGAAAGCATGGAGACGTGGATGGATGGAGACGTGGATGGATGGAGACATGGAGGGATGGAGACATGGAGGAATGGAGACATGGAGGAATGGAGACATGAATGAATGGTTGGTTGAAGACATGGATGGATAGTTGAAGATATGAATGGATGGATGGTTGCTTGGAGACATGGATGGATGGATGGTTGGAGACATGAATGAATGGTTGGTTGGAGACATGAATGAATGGTTGGATGGATGGATGGTTGGTTGGAGACATGGATAGATGGTTGGCTGGAGACATGGATGGATGGTTGGAGACATGAATGAATGGTTGGATGGATGGATGGTTGGCTGGAGACATGAATGAATGGATGGATGGATAGTTGGTTGGATGGTTGGTTGGAGACACAAATTAATGGTTGGATAGATGGATGGATGGTTGGAGACATGAATGAATGGTTGGATGGATGGATGGATGGATGGTTGGTTGGAGACACGAATGAATGGTTGGATGGATGGATGGTTGGTTGGTTGGAGACATGAATGAATGGTTGGATGGATGGCTGTAGACATGAATGAATGGATGGATGGATGGATAGTTGGTTGAATGGTTGGTTGGAGACATGAATGAATGGTTGGATGGATGGATGGTTGGTTGGAGACATGAATGGATGGATGGATGGTTGGTTGGAGACATGGATAGACGGATGGGAGAGTTTGCTTGAAATATTTTTATTTTTGGTTTGCGGTGCTCAGATGCAGTGAATTTCCACAATGCAATGGCAGGAGACGGGGGGGGGTGCTCACCTGCCGTGGCCGGGATGCTTTGCTTCGTGGCCATTGCAAAAAACTAACAATTAACATTTTGTGATCGGTGGGCGGCAAACCTGAGGAACGCAATCCAATCAAGAGAAGGGGGAGGAGCTACAAACACACCATAACTGCATGCAGTGCGGCGTGATCACTTTTCGGAGAAGCGGTGGGTTAGGCGCATGTCTACAAGTCGGACAATCCCGATGCACAAAGAGCTCTCACCGCAATCTTCGTCTTAAAAACTATCCAAGAAGCGCAGCGGGATGAAGGTTAGCACGGTTACCTTGCAGCGCTGGGGTCCCAGATCAATATCCTGCCCAGGACACTACCTGCATGGAGTTTGCAACTTCTCCCTGTGCTTTCCTGGGTCTCCTCCCACAATCCTGCCATGACTGGCTCCTGTCTAAACTGGCCGGAGTGGATGTATGTGATGGGGACTGTGGACTGGGCGCTCCTTGGGGACTGTGGACTGGACGCTCCTCGGGGACAGGGACTGGTGTGACTGTACGGCATGTAAACTGTTGGCGATGTACAGATCTGACAATGGCGCCACTGACACCAAGGGACTGCGATGGACGCAGCATGCCTGTTATTTCCCCATTACATGGGAGGAACACCGAGAACCGGAGCTTGCCACAGTTCTAAAACAGGAAGTTAAAGATGGAAGACCGGAGGGGGCGGCGGGGGCGGGATCCACATTTCAGGAGTAGAAAAAAAAAAAACTCAATATGGGTCAGGAAAGGAAACGCAGCCCCCCGTGTGCCGCCCTGACGGCCGACTATTCCAGATCCTGGCTTCACTCTAAAAGTTAAATATGTAACAAAATCTGTCAGTGAGGACCAACAACGGGGGCGGGGGCGGCCCCACAACGGGGACGGGGGCGGCCCACAACGGGGACGGGGGCGGCCCACAACGGGGACGGCCCACAACGGGGACAGGGGCGGCCCACAACGGGGACGGCCCACAACGGGGACGGCCCACAACGGGGACGGGGACGGCCCACAACGGGGATGGCTGACGCCATCTTCTACCCACTGACTGGTAACATTCGTTGTAACGTTCGTTCGTCATCTGTATCTCTGAAGGGTCACGGTTGTTCCTCGAACGTTTGGTCCGGGACTTTCAAGAACAAAAAAAATAAAAAGCTATAAAGTTCAGGTTTTTTCACACATAACTGGTTGGCTCTATAGACGGCTAATCTCTCACTTCCCGCTAAGTTATACAAAGTCGTCTTTTAGTCACCCGAGACGCGCTATAAATAGAAAAATAAAGAGTTCGGCTTCGGCGGCTCAGAGCTCGTCGTGGTAGAAATGTTCGTCCTGAAGCTGCCGGCCGTAATCTGTGGCTTCGCTGGTGAGGAAGATGTCCCGGCTCTGCATGATCTCCGCTTCCGAAAGTCTCCCATCGCCGTCCTTGTCAATGGATTCCACCAGATGACTGGCCTGTACAAGAAAGAGACATTCGCCATAGAGACATTGGTCAGAGCAGGAACATTCATCACAGAGAGACACTGGCCATAGAGGAACATTCGTCACAGAGAAACATTCGTCATAGAGAGACACTGGCATTTAGGGAACATTCGTCACAGAGAGACACTGGCCAGAGCAGGAACATTCGTCACAGAGAGACACTGGTCAGAGCAGGAACATTCGTCACAGAGAGACATTGGTCAGAGCAGGAACATTCATCATAGAGAGACACTGGCCATAGAGGAACATTCGTCACAGAGAAACATTCGTCATAGAGAGACACTGGCATTTAGGGAACATTCGTCACAGAGAGACACTGGTCAGAGCAGGAACATTCGTCACAGAGAGACATTGGTCAGAGCAGGAACATTCGTCACAGAGAGACATTGGTCAGAGCAGGAACATTAGTCACAGAGAGACACTGGTCAGAGCAGGAACATTCGTCACAGAGAGACACTGGTCAGAGCAGGAACATTCATCACAGAGAGACACTGGCCATAGAGGGACATTCGTCACAGAGAGACACTGGCATTTAGGGAACATTCGTCACAGAGAGACACTGGCCATAGAGGAACATTGGCCATAGAGGAACATTCGTCATAGAGAGACACTGGCATTTAGGGAACATTCGTCACAGAGAGACACTGGCCATAGAGGAACATTCGTCACAGAGAGACACTGGTCAGAGCAGGAACATTCGTCACAGAGAGACATTGGTCAGAGCAGGAACATTCGTCACAGAGAGACATTGGTCAGAGCAGGAACATTAGTCACAGAGAGACACTGGTCAGAGCAGGAACATTCGTCACAGAGAGACACTGGTCAGAGCAGGAACATTCATCACAGAGAGACACTGGCCATAGAGGGACATTCGTCACAGAGAGACACTGGCATTTAGGGAACATTCGTCACAGAGAGACACTGGCCATAGAGGAACATTGGCCATAGAGGAACATTCGTCATAGAGAGACACTGGCATTTAGGGAACATTCGTCACAGAGAGACACTGGCCATAGAGGAACATTCGTCACAGAGAGACACTGGTCAGAGCAGGAACATTCGTCACAGAGAGACATTGGTCAGAGCAGGAACATTCGTCACAGAGAGACATTGGTCAGAGCAGGAACATTCGTCACAGAGAGACATTGGTCAGAGCAGGAACATTCGTCACAGAGAGACATTGGTCAGAGCAGGAACATTCGTCACAGAGAGACACTGGCCATAGAGGAACATTCGTCACAGAGAGACACTGGCCATAGAGGGACATTCGTCACAGAGAGACACTGGCATTTAGGGAACATTCGTCACAGAGAGACACTGGCCATAGAGGGACATTCGTCACAGAGAGACACTGGCCATAGAGGGGACACTCGTCATAGAGGGGACACTCGTCAGAGGGACATTCGTCAGAGGGACATTCGTCAGAGGGACATTCGTCAGAGAGGGACATTCGTCAGAGGAACATTCGTCAGAGGGACATTCGTCAGAGAGGAACACTCGTCAGAGAGGAACACTCGTCAGAGAGGAACACTCGTCAGAGAGGAACACTCGTCAGAGAGGAACACTCGTCAGAGAGGAACACTCGTCAGAGGGACATTCGTCAGAGCGGGATCACCAAAGTCATATATACAATTTGTCCATCAATAACGAGTTGACTGAAGACCAAGAGTAAAGTTTGCCCATTTCTACAGATTTGCAGCGATGAGGAAATCTCCTCCAGTATTCTGGGAGTGAAGCTCACCTCCTCCTGTGACACCCCGACATTGTTTGGGACGATCCAAGACAGAAGTTCGGTGGGGTTGAGCTTCCCGTCACCATCCTTGTCATAATCGTTCTCAAAGCGGTCTCGTTCCACAATCACCCACTGGGGGTCTTCGGTGGCATCTTTAAGAAATGAAAAACAAATGGATACGAATTCCACAATGGTGGTCCCCTCATCCCAACCCCCGCTACCAGCCAGCAGGGACCTACGAATTCTGGAAAAGGAGATACCAGGAAAAATGCGCATTTTTACATAAAACATTCACATTTCTTAACTTCCTCCTGCCAGCCCTATGTAAATACACCGACAATCATCGACCACCGACAGGTAGTATACAATGTATCACAGACTGGGTCCTGTACGTATACAATGTATCATAGACTGGATCCTGTACGTATACAATGTATCATAGACTGGGTCCTGTACGTATACAATGTATCATAGACTGCGTCCTGTACGTATACAATGTATCATAGACTGGGTCCTGTACGTATACAATGTATCATAGACTGGGTCCTGTATGTATACAATGTATCATAGACTGCGTCCTGTACGTATACAATGTATCATAGACTGGGTCCTGTACGTATACAATGTATCATAGACTGGGTCCTGTATGTATACAATGTATCATAGACTGGATCCTGTATGTATACAATGTATGATATAATGTGTCCTGTATGTATACAATGTATCATAGACTGGGTCCTGTATGTATACAATGTATCATAGACTGGGTCCTGTATGTATACAATGTATCACAGACTGGATCCTGTACGTATACAATGTATGATATAATGTGTCCTGTACGTATACAATGTATCATAGACTGGGTCCTGTACGTATACAATGTATCATAGACTGGATCCTGTATGTATACAATGTATGATATAATGTGTCCTGTATGTATACAATGTATCATAGACTGGGTCCTGTATGTATACAATGTATCATAGACTGGGTCCTGTATGTATACAATGTATCACAGACTGGATCCTGTACGTATACAATGTATGATATAATGTGTCCTGTACGTATACAATGTATCATAGACTGGGTCCTGTACGTATACAATGTATGATATAATGTGTCCTGTACGTATACAATGTATCATAGACTGGGTCCTGTACGTATACAATGTATCATAGACTGCGTCCTGTACGTATACAATGTATCATAGACTGGGTCCTGTACGTATACAATGTATGATATAATGTGTCCTGTACGTATACAATGTATCATAGACTGGGTCCTGTATGTATACAATGTATCACAGACTGCGTCCTGTACGTATACAATGTATCATAGACTGGGTCCTGTACGTATACAATGTATCATAGACTGGGTCCTGTACGTATACAATGTATCATAGACTGGATCCTGTACGTATACAATGTATCACAGACTGGGTCCTGTACGTGTACAATGTATCACAGACTGGGTCCTGTACGTATACAATGTATCACAGACTGGGTCCTGTACGTATACAATGTATCACAGACTGGGTCCTGTACGTATACAATGTATCATAGACTGCGTCCTGTACGTATACAATGTATCATAGACTGCGTCCTGTACGTATACAATGTATCATAGACTGCGTCCTGTACGTATACAATGTATCATAGACTGGGTCCTGTACGTATACAATGTATCATAGACTGGGTCCTGTACGTATACAATGTATCATAGACTGGATCCTGTACGTATACAATGTATCATAGACTGGATCCTGTATGTATACATTGTATCTCTCTCCTCCATTCAAAGAAAGCACAGGGGTGGGCTTCACAGTGAATGACCATTGTGATAGCCAATTAGAGGCTATCACAGCGATCAGGTGACCCAAAATCGAGAGTTCCGGGTCCGGATAAAATTTGTACGGGACTCGGGGCTCTCAGTAACACCCGGTCTTGGTGCTGGGAGCGTGCCGTACGGCACAAAGACAGGTGAGCCAATACGCGGCCCTACGGAAAAAAGCCCAGTTCTGTCAGGCCGCATTGTGTGGTGTCGGCACCAAGGGAACAAGAAGCCTCAGAAAAGATAAAATATCTATTGGACTGTTATAGATACATTGTTGCAGAACTTGTTCCATATGATATCCAGCAGAATGTTGTGTGAATTTATCATCAGTATATAAATGAGACTTTAGGGTAAGCACAGCTTATTTCAGGCATAATGTAGTCACCGCCGGGATCAGCGTCTGTCTGGACCCAGGATCAACGCCCGGACCCAGGATCGGCGCCCGTCCGGACCCAGGATCAACGCCCGGACCCAGGATCGGCGCCCGTCCGGACCCAGGATCGACGCCCGGACCCAGGATCGGCGCCCGTCCAGACCCAGGATCGGCGCCCGTCCGGACCCAGGATCGGCGTCTGACTGGACCCAGGATCGGCGCCCGCCCGGACCCAGGATCGGCGCCTTACCGGACCCAGGATCGGCGCCCGTCCGGACCCAGGATCGGCGCCCGTCCGGACCCAGGATCGGCGTCTGACTGGACCCAGGATCGGCGCCCGCCCGGACCCAGGATCGGCGCCCGCCCGGACCCAGGATCGGCGTCTTACCGGACCCAGGATCGGCGCCCGTCCGGACCCAGGATCGGCGGCGCCCAGGATCGCGCCCGCCCCGGGATCGGCGCCCGCCCGGACCCAGGATCGGCGCCCGCCCGGACCCAGGATCGGCGCCCGCCCGGACCCAGGATCGGCGCCCGCCCGGACCCAGGATCGGCGCCCGTCCGGACCCAGGATCGGCGCCCGCCCGGACCCAGGATCGGCGCCCGCCCGCCGCCGGACCCAGGATCGGCGCCCGCCCGGACCCAGGATCGGCGCCCGCCCGGACCCAGGATCGGCGCCCGCCACGCTGTGCGGCCGGACCCAGGATCGGCGCCCGCCCCGAACCCAGGATCGGCGGCCCGCGCCGGACCCCATAACGGCCGGACCCAGGATCAACGCCCGGACCCAGGATCGGCGCCCGTCCGGACCCAGGATCGGCGCCCGTCCGGACCCAGGATCGGCGCCCGTCCGGACCCAGGATCGGCGCCCGTCCGGACCCAGGATCGGCGCCCGTCCGGACCCAGGATCGGCGCCCGTCCGGACCCAGGATCGGCGCCCGTCCGGACCCAGGATCGGCGCCCGTCCGGACCCAGGATCGGCGCCCGTCCGGACCCAGGATCAACGCCCGGACCCAGGATCGGCGCCCGTCCGGACCCAGGATCGGCGTCTTACCGGACCCAGGATCGGCGCCCGTCCGGACCCAGGATCGGCGCCCGTCCGGACCCAGGATCGGCGCCCGTCCGGACCCAGGATCGGCGCCCGCCCGGACCCAGGATAGGCGCCCGCCCGGACCCAGGATCGGCGCCCGCCCGGACCCAGGATCGGCGCCCGCCCGGACCCAGGATCGGCGCCCGCCCGGACCCAGGATCGGCGCCCGCCCGGACCCAGGATCGGCGCCCGCCCGGACCCAGGATCGGCGCCCGCCCGGACCCAGGATCGGCGCCCAGACCTAGGGATACTGCATGGCGGTCGGTTTGGCGTTGAGAAGGTGACATTTGTTTTCCTCATACCTGGATCCTGGGAGTATTCACCGAGGTATTCCTCCAAACTAACAAATCCATCGCCATCCTTGTCATGTTCTTCTAATGCTCCTTCGATAACGAACTCCTACAATGTGATTACAATGGACAGTTATTACAATATACTTGTATGATCTCTGCCCCCCATATCAGGAAACGTTCGATGTCTGACGTGGAAAGCCGATGTTCTACCTTTCTGTTCTCTCGTGATGTTATCCTCCCGTCTTCCTGCTAGGAGACCATCCTTCACCCCAGGGATCCCCACCATACACAGTCTGGCCTCCAAGGGTCCCCTATGTCCCGGGGCTACAGAGTAGAGGGTCATACCATGTGCCATCTCCATCACCCATCACCACCCTCAGTACGTGAGTGCCGGAGGTTCCTCGTATTTATACAACCACATTCTCCCAGATGTTCCTTCTATAGACAAAGACATCGATGCTCCAGGGGGTCTTCCAGATCATCTACTGGCCATAGATGTGAATCCGGACCCATCCCCCTCGCAGTATCTGGATACGCACAGCCTGCACCTCTGCAGTTTTCTCTTAATATCTAGAAAGTTTTCATGCCGATAGCGCAAACTCACAACGTAGACTGCGGCAGATCGCTCACCGCCTCACCTCACCTTCCCCAACCACCTCGATGGGGACCTTTCATGACATGACCAGCAGTATACATTGGGGGGTGTACAGTGCTCTCCTATCTATGGCTAGCCGCTTCCAACTGCTCTATAGTGGAAGTGCTGCTACGGGGCGGCAGGGATGCGCAAAATCACACACATATATATATATACATGATTTGCATTTCCAGGTAGGAGGCACACGTGTGTGCGCTCCCTACCCGCGCCGCTAATGGCTCCTCGGCATGTCAATCACCGGATCCCAACCGCCGATTCTCGCCTGGGACTCTGTGATCGTCGGCGGAGCTGACAGGGGAGAGGTCTGTATGCAGACAATACAGATCTCTCCCGTCAGCACAGACATGCTGCTTTGCATTGCTCTGCACAGGATTGCAATACAAAGCAGCATGTTTACATAGTAAAACAGTCCACAACGCACTGTTAACCCTTTGATGGCCCCAGATGTTAACCCCCTCCTGCCCAGTGTCATTAGTACAGTGTCGGGGCTTTATATTAGCACTGATCCCTGTATTGGTGCCACTGGGGATGTCAGTGGCAATTATTCTGTCCTCCCCCCCCCCCCCCCCCCCCCCCCCCCCAGTGTCAGAATGCCCGCCGCAGTCCCGCTATAATTCGCTGATCGCCGCCATTACTAGTACAAAAAAGAATTCCAGTATATATATACACACATACATACATATATATACACACACACCGCCATTTGTAAATGCTATAACTTTCACGTAAACCAATTAATTTACACATATCGGGATTTTTTTTTTTTAGCGAAGACACGGAGCGAAGACACGGAGCGGGAGACATTTTGGCCGAAATTCATGAAGAAATTATTTTTCTGGATATGTTTTATAGCAAAAAGGCAAAAATATTGTTTTTCTTTTTTTCAAAATTGTCGGTCTTTTTGTTTATAATGGAAAACAAAAAGAAAACAAAAGCGCAGAGGTGATCAAGTACCACCGAAAAAAGCTCTATTTGTGGGGAAAAAAATTATATAAATTTCCTTTATGTACAGCGTCGCATGACCGCACAATTGTCAGTTAAAGTAACGCAGCGCTGTATCACATAAAATGGCCTGGTCAGGAAGGGGGGGGGGGGGTAAATCGTCTGGAGGGCAAGTGGCTAGAATACATTCCACATCCACATACCGCCCCCCCCCCCCCCCCCCCCCCCCCCACAAGATGGTCCTGTGAAGTAGAAGACGTGCCCAATACACGTTCAGCAACATTCCAACACAACCTCCCAGAGCAGCACAACATCAAAGAGGAACACCAGGCACCGTGTACATAGCTATGGGGGTCTATGAACCTTCCATGTTGTCTGATGGCCCCGGATGATGCCAATCACTGACACCGCTACTACAATGATACACCACCTTTCCTTCCTTTGATGTTGGATATGTAGGTTCCTCTCCATCTAGTGAGGGGGTGTCCGGCTATCACTCTTTATGGGTTCTTACCGACATGTAATCCGTTTCTTCAGGATGCTCAAAGTCTGTAAATTCTCTCAGATTCAACCCCGGATTATTGTCGCGTTCCGCGCGTTCAAATCTCTTCTTGTCCCTTAAATGGATCTTTCGAAGAAAAAAAAACACTTTCAGTAAAACAGACGACATTTCTGTCTGCAGGTTTAGATACGCCAAGTACTTCATCTCTACAGAGGCCCCAGAAGGGAATGGCAAGGGGGGGGGGGGGGGGAGATGACATGCTTAACCTGGGTGTCACCTGGGCAGGAAGTGGAGGGAAATCTCTTCAACAGGTCCAGTAATAATCTAACGGAGGATTCAGTCCTTCTCCACTAAGAATGGTTTGGAGCTCGAATGCAAATAGTTCTGCTTAACCTACCAGTGTAGCAAACTTCCCCATCAGAGATGGACGCGGAGTTCCCCTTTTTTATTCCTCAATCTTTTATTCCCCACCCCCTCCCTTCCTGAGAGGCACAGGGACAGATGTGTAAGTGTTAAAAAGTTGCTGGCAGGCTGGAGCAGAAGGGGGCCCAGCACTACAAAGCCCCCCCATAGAGACAGCAGACTCTCTGTCCCAAGGCCTGTGCAAACCCGCACCTCCTAACCAAGAGAAGGTAGTTCCCCCCCCCCCCCCCGGACTTGAAAGAAGTTGGAACCTCATAAACCCGACCAGCCAGGTGACAGAAGTTAAATGAACATTCCTCAGGTCAGCTGTCACCTATGTGTAATATCATGGATTATGATATGAACCCATCCGACGATCCCGCCCAAAACAGAGTATTGGCCAGTACTCAGAGCCACCGACGATCCCGCCCAAAACAGGGTATTGGCCAGTACTCAGAGCCACCGACGATCCCGCCCAAAACAGGGTATTGGCCAGTACTCAGAGCCACCGACGATCCCGCCCAAAACAGGGTATTGGCCAGTACTCAGAGCCACCGACGATCCCGCCCAAAACAGGGTATTGGCCAGTACTCAGAGCCACCGACGATCCCGCCCAAAACAGGGTATTGGCCAATACTCAGAGCCACCGACGATCCCGCCCAAAACAGGGTATTGGCCAGTACTCAGAGCCACCGACGATCCCGCCCAAAACAGGGTATTGGCCAGTACTCAGAGCCACCCCCCCCCCCTGCAGGGGGACTTTAAAAGACAGGCTGGCAAGCCTAAAAAGTTAACCTAAAACACATCTCCCAATTTTAACATCTATATACCACACGGGAGATCAGAGACCCTTCACTCTGCAACTGGGATCTGCTCACATCAAAGGCCGAACGTGGCAAGTAAACTCCTCCCTGTTATCTCTGGGCTGTTTTCTATATATATATAAATATATATCTGAGTTACATTTTCTTTGTAAATATTTTGTTGCACCTGTTTAACACTTTCAGGAAGAAATATTTATTACTAAAAGAGTCAAACTGTTTCTAAGCGCTTACTTGCAATTCACGAATTCCTGCCTTTTGAAGAGACGCTACTGTGTTTGTTTAATCCTCTGCCCAATCGGCCTGCGGTGACCGTATTGGACAGGCGACTTTTCAATCATTATAGTGTATTAATTGATAAAGAGAGTTTCCCCTTTCTCTGTACAAAAAGGGGTGGTGGCAGTGAAGGGTTAGTTGCGTAATTAACCCGACCCAGTAACAAGCGCATTCAGGCTGCCGGTGCGTCGATTGCGTTCCATTAGCTGGATAATCGTTGTGCAGGGCACAGCTGACCTGAGTTACGACCTGAGTTACGCACGTCACATCTCAGTCTGGATCGGCCAGTCCTTCGGTCACGAGTTGGGTGAGAAGGTCTGGGGACTGACGCCGCAATCGTGACGTATTGGTGGTCGCGGTCGTGCGATTGTCGCATGTTGAGGGTGGTGATCGTGCGTCCCTGACAACCAGTGCAGGGGCGGGTGGCTGTTTATAAATGGCCTCCCCGCCCCCTGCTTGTGCACGCTCCCTGGGAGCGCGCACCACCGCGATCCGGTGCCCGTTGTGTCCTCCAGACACAGTGCAACACCGATCGTTGTAAGGGACCACTGTGTGAGGTCCCGATCATGTGATCACTGATTGGCCAATCAGTGATCACATGCAGAGTAGTAAGCAAGATGTCATTTCTGACATCATTGCTTATTACGTGTGAAATCTGCGAACGATCACAGAGGTCACATGGTACAGGGCCATTCACAACAGCCTTGTACCATGTGACAAGCTGTGACTAATCACAGCTCACACAGTATTTCTCAATGGCTGCAAGAATGCAGACAGAGAGAAGGAGAAAATGATTGATTTTACAGCCTTTATGGGTGTAAAAGCAATCAGTGTAAGAAAAAAAAAAAAAAAATCTTCACCCCCCACAAGTAGTACAGTGTCACCATGGTAACCCCACACTGCTAGGGTGACAGTATGTAAAAAAAAAAACACAACAGGGCACAGAGAACCATTGATTTTGTTGTGTTCTTGCAGAACGCAGGCAGAAAAACTGACGTCTCTGCACCGTGGTGTGAACAAATCCTTAAGGTGTTACTAAACCCCGGACCCCGCATTCACTATATCCGCTCTCCCCGGACCCCGCATTCACTGTATCCGCTCTCCCCGGACCCCGCATTCACTATATCCGCTCTCCCCGGACCCCGCATTCACTATATCCGCTCTCCCCGGACCCCGCATTCACTATATCCGCTCTCCCCGGACCCCGCATTCGCTATATCCGCTCTCCCCGGACCCCGCATTCCCTATATCCGCTCTCCCCGGACCCCGCATTCGCTATATCCGCTCTCCCCGGACCCCGCATTCGCTATATCCGCTCTCCCCGGACCCCGCATTCACTATATCCGCTCTCCCCGGACCCCGCATTCGCTATATCCGCTCTCCCCGGACCCCGCATTCACTGTATCCGCTCTCCCCGGACCCCGCATTCACTGTATCCGCTCTCCCCGGACCCCGCATTCACTGTATCCGCTCTCCCCGGACCCCGCATTCACTGTATCCGCTCTCCCCGGACCCCGCATTCACTGTATCCGCTCTCCCCGGACCCCGCATTCGCTATATCCGCTCTCCCCGGACCCCGCATTCCCTGTATCCGCTCTCCCCGGACCCCGCATTCACTGTATCCGCTCTCCCCGGACCCCGCATTCACTGTATCCGCTCTCCCCGGACCCCGCATTCGCTATATCCGCTCTCCCCGGACCCCGCATTCCCTGTATCCGCTCTCCCCGGACCCCGCATTCACTGTATCCGCTCTCCCCGGACCCCGCATTCCCTATATCCGCTCTCCCCGGACCCCGCATTCACTATATCCGCTCTCCCCGGACCCCGCATTCACTATATCCGCTCTCCCCGGACCCCGCATTCGCTATATCCGCTCTCCCCGGACCCCGCATTCACTATATCCGCTCTCCCCGGACCCCGCATTCCCTGTATCCCCTCTCCCCGGACCCCGCATTCACTATATCCGCTCTCCCCGGACCCCGCATTCACTGTATCCGCTCTCCCCGGACCCCGCATTCACTATATCCGCTCTCCCCGGACCCCGCATTCACTATATCCACTCTCCCCGGACCCCGCATTCACTATATCCGCTCTCCCCGGACCCCGCATTCACTATATCCGCTCTCCCCGGACCCCGCATTCCCTGTATCCCCTCTCCCCGGACCCCGCATTCACTATATCCGCTCTCCCTGGACCCCGTATTCACTATATCCGCTCTCCCCGGACCCCGCATTCACTGTATCCGCTCTCCCCCCGGACCCCGCATTCACTATATCCGCTCTCCCCGGACCCCGCATTCACTATATCCCCTCTCCCCGGACCCCGCATTCACTATATCCGCTCTCCCCGGACCCCGCATTCACTATATCCGCTCTCCCCGGACCCGGCATTCACTATATCCGCTCTCCCCGGACCCCGCATTCACTGTATCCGCTCTCCCCGGACCCCGCATTCACTATATCCCCTCTCCCCGGACCCCGCATTCACTGTATCCCCCCGGGAGTGAGGAAGTGAGAAATCCCCGCAAATTAAGGGACTCTCCTGGGACCAAAACTAGTGTCCCCATTGGAAGATTTCCCCTCTATTACTTTTCTGGGGACAATGAATGACGAGGAATAACTCACCAGGCGGAAGGATTCCTCCTCGTCATCTTCTAGGACCGTGTCCTCATTGTAGTCGATGATACGATCGTACATGTGCAGGTTGTACTCCTCCCAGGTGACGATTCCGTCTCCATTCTGGTCGACTTCTGCAAACTGCTCCTTGGTGTCTTCTAACACATAATGCTTGAAGGACATTTGGATCCACAAACTGAGCTCCTCTGCAAATTCAAAAAAAAAAACATCAAATGACTCAAACAGGATTCATACAACGATATGGGAATATCTGCTGACTGGCAGGCTGGAGGGTCTACATTTACTAAGACCACCTGATCATCCTCAGAGTTGTAATAAAGAAAAAAACAAAAACAAGCTGCAACCCCGGAATCCACATCCATTCACATGTGCGCAGACCGACCATATCTCAACAAAGATGAATCTCTATTGCAGGGGATGCCTGGTATTGGTATTGCGGCTCTCCTGCGCAATCAGAGAGCCCAGTAAGGATGCAACCAGCGGCTCTCCCGCGCAATCAGGGAGTAAGGATGCGACCAGCGGCTCTCCCGCACAATCAGGGAGTAAGGATGCGACCAGCGGCTCTCCCGCACAATCAGGGAGTAAGGATGCGACCAGCGGCTCTCCCGCACAATCAGACAGCTCAGTAAGGATGCGACCAGCGGCTCTCCCGCGCAATCAGGGAGTAAGGATGCAACCAGCGGCTCTCCCGCGCAATCAGGGAGTAAGGATGCAACCAGCGGCTCTCCCGCACAATCAGGGAGTAAGGATGCAACCAGCGGCTCTCCCGCACAATCAGGGAGTAAGGATGCGACCAGCGGCTCTCCCGCACAATCAGGGAGTAAGGATGCGACCAGCGGCTCTCCCGCGCAATCAGGGAGTAAGGATGCGATCAGCGGCTCTCCCGCGCAATCAGGGAGTAAGGATGCGACCAGCGGCTCTCCCGCGCAATCAGGGAGTAAGGATGCGACCAGCGGCTCTCCCGCGCAATCAGGGAGTAAGGATGCGACCAGCGGCTCTCCCGCGCAATCAGGGAGTAAGGATGCGACCAGCGGCTCTCCCGCGCAATCAGGGAGTAAGGATGCGACCAGCGGCTCTCCCGCGCAATCAGAGAGCTCAGTAAGGATGCAACCAGCGGCTCTCCCGCACAATCAGGGAGTAAGGATGCGACCAGCGGCTCTCCCGCACAATCAGGGAGTAAGGATGCGACCAGCGGCTCTCCCGCACAATCAGGGAGTAAGGATGCGACCAGCGGCTCTCCCGTACAATCAGGGAGTAAGGATGCGACCAGCGGCTCTCCCGCGCAATCAGGGAGTAAGGATGCGATCAGCGGCTCTCCCGCGCAATCAGGGAGTAAGGATGCGACCAGCGGCTCTCCCGCGCAATCAGGGAGTAAGGATGCGACCAGCGGCTCTCCCGCGCAAATCAGGGAGTAAGGATGCGACCAGCGGCTCTCCCGCGCAATCAGAGAGCTCAGTAAGGATGCAACCAGCGGCTCTCCCGCACAATCAGGGAGTAAGGATGCGACCAGCGGCTCTCCCGCACAATCAGGGAGTAAGGATGCGACCAGCGGCTCTCCCGCACAATCAGGGAGTAAGGATGCGACCAGCGGCTCTCCCGCGCAATCAGGGAGTAAGGATGCGACCAGCGGCTCTCCCCGCGCAATCAGGGAGTAAGGATGCGACCAGCGGCTCTCCCCGCGCAATCAGGGAGTAAGGATGCGACCAGCGGCTCTCCCGCGCAATCAGAGAGCTCAGTAAGGATGCAACCAGCGGCTCTCCTGCACAATCAGGGAGTAAGGATGCGACCAGCGGCTCTCCCGCACAATCAGGGAGTAAGGATGCGACCAGCGGCTCTCCCGCACAATCAGAGAGCTCAGTAAGGATGCAACCAGCGGCTCTCCTGCACAATCAGGGAGTAAGGATGCGACCAGCGGCTCTCCCGCACAATCAGGGAGTAAGGATGCGACCAGCGGCTCTCCCGCACAATCAGGGAGTAAGGATGCGACCAGCGGCTCTCCCGCGCAATCAGAGAGCTCAGTAAGGATGCAACCAGTGGCTCTCCCGCACAATCAGGGAGTAAGAATGCGACCAGCGGCTCTCCCGCACAATCAGGGAGTAAGGATGCGACCAGCGGCTCTCCCGCACAATCAGAGAGCTCAGTAAGGATGCGACCAGCGGCTCTCCCGCACAATCAGGGAGTAAGGATGTGACCAGCGGCTCTCCCGCACAATCAGGGAGTAAGGATGCGACCAGCGGCTCTCCCGCACAATCAGGGAGTAAGGATGCGACCAGCGGCTCTCCCGCGCAATCAGGGAGTAAGGATGCGACCAGCGGCTCTCCCGCGCAATCAGGGAGTAAGGATGCGACCAGCGGCTCTCCCGCGCAATCAGGGAGTAAGGATGCGATCAGCGGCTCTCCCGCGCAATCAGGGAGTAAGGATGCGACCAGCGGCTCTCCCGCGCAATCAGGGAGTAAGGATGCGACCAGCGGCTCTCCCGCGCAATCAGGGAGTAAGGATGCGACCAGCGGCTCTCCCGCGCAATCAGGGAGTAAGGATGCGACCAGCGGCTCTCCCGCGCAATCAGGGAGTAAGGATGCGACCAGCGGCTCTCCTGCGCAATCAGGGAGTAAGGATGCGACCAGCGGCTCTCCCGCGCAATCAGAGAGCTCAGTAAGGATGCAACCAGCGGCTCTCCTGCACAATCAGGGAGTAAGGATGCGACCAGCGGCTCTCCCGCACAATCAGGGAGTAAGGATGCGACCAGCGGCTCTCCCGCACAATCAGAGAGCTCAGTAAGGATGCGACCAGCGGCTCTCCTGCACAATCAGGGAGTAAGGATGCGACCAGCGGCTCTCCCGCACAATCAGGGAGTAAGGATGCGACCAGCGGCTCTCCCGCGCAAATCAGGGAGTAAGGATGCGACCAGCGGCTCTCCCGCGCAATCAGAGAGCTCAGTAAGGATGCAACCAGCGGCTCTCCCGCACAATCAGGGAGTAAGGATGCGACCAGCGGCTCTCCCGCACAATCAGGGAGTAAGGATGCGACCAGCGGCTCTCCCGCACAATCAGGGAGTAAGGATGCGACCAGCGGCTCTCCCGCACAATCAGGGAGTAAGGATGCGACCAGCGGCTCTCCCGCACAATCAGGGAGTAAGGATGCGACCAGCGGCTCTCCCGCACAATCAGGGAGTAAGGATGCGACCAGCGGCTCTCCCGCACAATCAGGGAGTAAGGATGCGACCAGCGGCTCTCCCGCACAATCAGGGAGTAAGGATGCGACCAGCTGCTCTCCCGCACAATCAGGGAGTAAGGATGCGACCAGCGGCTCTCCCGCACAATCAGGGAGTAAGGATGCGACCAGCGGCTCTCCCGCACAATCAGGGAGTAAGGATGCGACCAGCGGCTCTCCCGCACAATCAGGGAGTAAGGATGCGACCAGCGGCTCTCCCGCACAATCAGGGAGTAAGGATGCGACCAGCGGCTCTCCCGCGCAATCAGGGAGTAAGGATGCGACCAGCGGCTCTCCCCGCGCAATCAGGGAGTAAGGATGCGACCAGCGGCTCTCCCGCACAATCAGGGAGTAAGGATGCGACCAGCGGCTCTCCCGCACAATCAGGGAGTAAGGATGCGACCAGCGGCTCTCCCGCACAATCAGGGAGTAAGGATGTGACCAGCGGCTCTCCCACGCAATCAGGGAGTAAGGATGCGACCAGCGGCTCTCCCGCGCAGTCAGGGAGTAAGGATGCGACCAGCGGCTCTCCCGCACAATCAGAGAGCTCAGTAAGGATGCGACCAGCGGCTCTCCCGCACAATCAGGGAGTAAGGATGCGACCAGCGGCTCTCCCGCACAATCAGGGAGTAAGGATGCGACCAGCGGCTCTCCCGCGCAATCAGGGAGTAAGGATGTGACCAGCGGCTCTCCCGCACAATCAGGGAGTAAGGATGCGACCAGCGGCTCTCCCACGCAATCAGGGAGTAAGGATGCGGCCAGCGGCTCTCCCACGCAATCAGGGAGTAAGGATGCGACCAGCGGCTCTCCCGCACAATCAGAGAGCTCAGTAAGGATGCGACCAGCGGCTCTCCCGCACAATCAGGGAGTAAGGATGCGACCAGCGGCTCTCCCGCACAATCAGGGAGTAAGGATGTGACCAGCGGCTCTCCCGCACAATCAGGGAGTAAGGATGCGACCAGCGGCTCTCCCGCACAATCAGGGAGTAAGGATGTGACCAGCGGCTCTCCCGCACAATCAGGGAGTAAGGATGCGACCAGCGGCTCTCCCGCACAATCAGAGAGCTCAGTAAGGATGCGACCAGCGGCTCTCCCGCACAATCAGGGAGTAAGGATGTGACCAGCGGCTCTCCCGCACAATCAGGGAGTAAGGATGTGACCAGCGGCTCTCCCGCACAATCAGGGAGTAAGGATGCGACCAGCGGCTCTCCCGCACAATCAGGGAGTAAGGATGCGACCAGCGGCTCTCCCGCACAATCAGGGAGTAAGGATGCGACCAGCGGCTCTCCTGCACAATCAGGGAGTAAGGATGCGACCAGCGGCTCTCCCGCACAATCAGGGAGTAAGGATGCGACCAGCGGCATCCTGTTCCTGGGACACAGTGAGAGGATTGGATGTCGTTCCTCCCACCAGGTGAGGTCAGAAGATCTGGTCACTTCCTGGTTCGGTCTCACTCCTACAAGCCATTACCGGCTTGTGAAAGCATCAAACCGACCTCGGATTAATGCGAGATATTGGGTCTAGTAGATCCCAGATCTCTCAGGAAAGAGTACCTGTCACTGCTCATACTACGCAATTCATCCCTTGGGATTGCAATAAGAAAAAAAAAAAGTTACAATTTAAACAAAAAAATTAAATATAAACCTTTTAACATTTTTTAAACCATTTTTTTTAAAGCGCTCCCGTTTCTGCGCGCCGACACACATATGTGAAAGCGCACATCGGTCCCGCACACATATGTGAATGGTGCTCACACCGCACACGTGAGGTATCGCCGCGAACGTTATAGTGGGAGCAGGGGCGGACTGACCATTTGGAAACTTGGCACTGCCCGAGGGCCCGGGGTCAGTAGGGGGCCCCATGAGATGCCCCTGGTACCTTTGTCATAGGCTTTTTTGAGTGTGGGGGCGAGGACACAGGGGCCCCATGATCCCCCATTTCCCGGGGGCCCCATGAGTTGTCAGTCCACCCCTGAGCGAGAGCAGTAATTCCAGCCGCAGACCTCCTGTGTAACTCTAACCTGGTAACCTGCGAAGGCTTTTAAAGCGGTAGTAAAAAGTTTGCTTCCTACAAGGCAAGATCGCATCGCAGATTATGAAAGACTTTCCTGAAAACGAAGTCCTCCAGCGGCGCGCTGTCACGGCTGCAGAGGCTTCCATCTTCCGGGTTTGCGGGCTGCGGTCGTGTGAATGGCCGAGCCGCGATAACGTCACTCCTGCGCATGCGCACAGGGGTCTGGCCCCAGGCACACAGCTATGAAGGAGTGGAATGGGTATGCCGTTTCTTCAGAGCGCATGCGCCGGTGAGGTCACCAGCTGTTGCTCGCTAGATTACCTCCTAAGCAGTGCATGCTGGGATATTCATTTTACTTTACAGGTAAGCTTACCTGTAGCTAAAAATAAAAAATAGAAAAAATTAAAAAATTTAAAGTGCTGCCCATGAAGATATTTAGGCATCGTAGCTTGGCGCCATTCCATGCGCGTACGCAATTTTAACCACTTCCCGACCGGCCGTTGCATATAAACGGCCGGACGGTGGCACTGCAGGGTCGGGTGGCCGTCTATAAACGGCCTCCCCGCACCCTGCTTGTGCGCGCTCCCTGGGAGCGCGCAGCACCGCGATCCGGTGCCCGCTGTGTCCTCCGGACACAGTGAAACACCGATCGTCGGACGGGACCTCTGTACGAGGTCCTGATCATGTGATCACTGATTGGCCAATCAGTGGTCACATGCAAAGTAGTAAGCAAGATGTCACTTGTGACATCATTGCTTACTACGTGTGAAATCTGTGAATGATCACAGAGGTCACATGGTACAGGGCTATTCACAAAAGGCTTGTACCATGTGACAAGCTGTGACCAATCACAGCTCAGTCAGTACTTCTCAATGAGTGCAAGAATGCAGACAGAGAGAAAGAGAAATGATTGCTTTTACATCCTATATGGGTGTAAAAAAAAAAAAAAAAAAAAATCTTCATCACCCCCCACAAGTAGTACAGTGTCACCATGGTGACACTGTACTGCTAGGGTGACAGTATGTAAAAAAAAAATAAAAAAAATAATAATATAAAAGAATAAAATAAAAAATGTAAAAAAAATGTTTAAAAATTATAATTTTTGTTATAAACTAATTTGGATTTTTTTTTTTTTTACTAAAAAGATAACGGAATACATTTTGGCAAAGATTTATGATGAAATATTATTTATTTGCAAAATTTTATAAAAAATACACTTTTTTTTCAAAATTTTTGGACTTTTTCATTTACATAGCAAAAAAAATAAAAATCCCAGCGGTGAATAAATACCACCAAAATAAAGCTTTATCTGTTTAAAAAAAAATGGTAAAAAATTCATTTGGGTACAGCGTTGCATGACCGCGTAATTGTCGTTCAAAGCGTGATAGCGCTGAAAGCTGAAAATTGCCCTGGTCAGGAAGTGGTTAAACTGTGAAATGTTAGGTATTTACTCAGCGAAAAAAATCATTGTAACGGAACCGGACCCCGACCGACCGCACTCGGGGATTTCCGTTATACTACCGCTTCCCTGTCCGAACACAGATCCCCGGACACCACTCTTTGTCCATACGAGACGAGACTTCAAATAAATCAGGAAATAGACTACTTTATGTTAACACAGATACAAGATATATACACGGGGCGGGGCAATACACACCCAGGAACAGGAAACACACCAGCAGACAGTCCCATCAGGGGGAAGGGCTGCCGGAAACACCCCCCACCAAGCCAATACACAAACACATACATCCCATAATAGTTTGCTCCCAAGCAAGACACACAATAGAACAATGAGATGCAACTACATGGCATTAAACAATCCACAACCCCCCCCCCCCCCCAATATTAGGACAGATGTACCCCTAACAGGCACAGGGTGACTTACACATAAGAGGGATATGGGGGAGCTGAGACAGGGGTCTTCCCACCTCTCCACAGTGAGCCGTGTTCCACGGGCCCCCCCCCCCAAAGTGAGCCGTGTTCCACGGGCCCCCCCCCCCCCCAAAGTGAGCCGTTTCCACGGGCCCCCCCCCCCCCAAAGTGAGCCGTGTTCCACGGGCCCCCCCCCCCAAAGTGAGCCGTGTTCCACGGGCCCCCCCCCCCCCCCCAAAGTGAGCCGTGTTCCACGGGCCCCCCACCCAAAGTGAGCCGTGTTCCACGGGCCCCCCCCACCCAAAGTGAGCCGTGTTCCACGGGCCCCCCCCCCCCAAAGTGAGCCGTGTTCCACGGGCCCCCCCCCCACCCAAAGTGAGCCGTGTTCCACGGGCCCCCCCCCCCAAAAGTGAGCCGTGTTCCACGGGCCCCCCCCCCCCCACGGGCCCCCCAAAAGTGAGCCGTGTTCCACGGGCCCCCCCACCCAAAGTGAGCCGTGTTCCACGGGCCCCCCCCCCCAAAGTGAGCCGTGTTCCACGGGCCCCCCCCCCCCCAAGTGAGCCGTGTTCCACGGGCCCCCCACCCAAAAGTGAGCCGTGTTCCACGGGCCCCCCCCCCCAAAGTGAGCCGTGTTCCACGGGCCCCCCCCACCCAAAGTGAGCCGTGTTCCACGGGCCCCCCCCACCCAAAGTGAGCCGTGTTCCACGGGCCCCCCCACCCCAAAAGTGAGCCGTGTTCCACGGGCCCCCCCACCCAAAGTGAGCCGTGTTCCACGGGCCCCCCCCCCAAAGTGAGCCGTGTTCCACGGGCCCCCCCCCCAAAGTGAGCCGTGTTCCACGGGCCCCCCCCCCCAAAGTGAGCCGTGTTCCACGGGCCCCCCCCCCCCAAAGTGAGCCGTGTTCCACGGGCCCCCCCCCCCAAAGTGAGCCGTGTTCCACGGGCCCCCCCCCCCCCCAAAGTGAGCCGTGTTCCACGGGTGAGCCGTGTTCCACGGGCCCCCCCACCCAAAGTGAGCCGTGTTCCACGGGCCCCCCCACCCAAAGTGAGCCGTGTTCCACGGGCCCCCCCACCCAAAGTGAGCCGTGTTCCACGGGCCCCCCCACCCAAAGTGAGCCGTGTTCCACGGGCCCCCCACCCAAAGTGAGCCGTGTTCCACGGGCCCCCACCCAAAGTGAGCCGTGTTCCCCCCCACCCAAAGTGAGCCGTGTTCCACGGGCCCCCCCACCCAAAAGTGAGAGCCGTGTTCCACGGGCCCCCCCCAAAGTGAGCCGTGTTCCACCCAAAGTGAGCCGTGTTCCACGGGCCCCCCCACCCAAAGTGAGCCGTGTTCCACGGGCCTCCCACCCAAAGTGAGCCGTGTTCCACGGGCCCCCCCCCCCCCCAAAGTGAGCCGTGTTCCACGGGCCCCCCACCCAAAGTGAGCCGTGTTCCACGGGCCCCCCACCCAAAGTGAGCCGTGTTCCACGGGCCCCCCACCCAAAGTGAGCCGTGTTCCACGGGCCCCCCACCCAAAGTGACTCCCGTGACAATCATCTTTTATATTTTATCAAACGGTTTTGTATTACAGGCGTATCTCGGTTACCGTAATTTTCTGTTTACGAATGAAAATCCATTGAAAATCGGTTTACAAATTGTATTTGCAATACGAACGGATTAATTGGTTTTCAAGGCATTTATGAATTAATTTTTAATCATGTCCCTGGACAGTATTTATGCCTTTAAAGTGCACTTTATAAAGAGTTTTGAACAGATAAGATTTTGTTTTTACTTTTTTCTGACCTCCGGAACGGATTAATTGGTTTTCATTGCATTCCTAAAGGGAAACCGCGTTTCGGTTTCTGAATTTTTTGCAATATGAAACGTGCCGCAGAACGAATTAAATTCGTAAACCCGCGGTGCGCCTGTATATTGTGTTTTTGTGCATTAAAAGTGTATTTTATCTAAAAAGAAGAAATGCGTATTTGAAACCGCTGCACAAATACCGCGTGGCAGACAAATATGCAACAACCACCATTTTATTCTCTACGGCCTCTGCTTTAAATAAATTATGTTTGGGGGTTCTAAGTAGTTTTCTAGCAAAAACAAAAAAAAAATGATTTTTCTTGTAGGAGAGGAATGTTAGAATTGTGTGGAAGGGAAAGTGGTTGAAGCGCAAACAGCGGCAGTTGTCACTTTTATGTCACATTTACTTCACTGTTTATCAAACAATTTTATTGGGAGAGAAAATCCCTCCCGGCTGTAAGCGGAGACGTCATACAATCATACGTGTGCGGTGCGAGGACTGCGAGGACTGCGAGGACTGCAGGGACTGCGAGGACTGTGAGGACTACGAGGACTGCGGGGGGACTGCGGGGACTGCGGGGACTGCGGGGACTGCAGGGACTGCGAGGACTGTGAGGACTACGAGGAATGCGGGGACTGCGGGGACTGCGAGGACTGTGAGGACTGCGAGGACTATGAGGACTGCGAGGACTGCGAGGACTGCGAGGACTGCGAGGACTGCGGGGACTGTGAGGACTGCGAGGACTGCGAGGACTGCGAGGACTGCGAGGACTTACCTTCCGTCAGGAATCCATCTGCGTCAATATCGATTCTTTTAATGATGGACTTTAATCTTTTCAGCTGTTCTTCTGGACTCAGCTCAGCAAACTCTTCCGCTTCTTCCTTAGAGAAGTACAAACAGAGCGATGATGGGTTACAGCCAACACACCCATGTCTGACCAGTCCTATACACCTCTAACCGGTCCTATACACCTCTAACCGGTCCTATATACACCTCTAACCGGTCCTATACACCTCTAACCGGTCCTATATACACCTCTAACCGGTCCTATATACACCTCTAACCGGTCCTATATACCTCCGTATAAAAAAAACGGACATTCCGGTCCATCAAAACAAGAAGCTACAATGCATGTATAGTATTTCTCCGCCCCTCCCCCGGACTGTATACAATGTATATATATATATATATAGTATCCCCCAGAAGAGAGCCCCCCCTCCCCCGGACTGTATACAATGTATATATATATATATATCTCCCAGAAGTGAGTCCCCCCTCCCCCGGACTGTATACAATGTATATATATATATATATCTCCCAGAAGTGAGTCCCCCCTCCCCCGGACTGTATACAATGTATATATATATATCTCCCAGAAGTGAGCCCCCCCCTCCCCCGGACTGTATACAATGTATATATATATATATATTATATATATATATCTCCCAGAAGTGAGCCCCCCCTCCCCCGGACTGTATACAATGTATATATATATATATATATAGTATCTCCCAGAAGTGAGTCCCCCCTCCCCCGGACTGTATACAATGTATATATATATATATATATCTCCCAGAAGTGAGTCCCCCCTCCCCCGGACTGTATACAATGTATATATATATATCTCCCAGAAGTGAGCCCCCCCTCCCCCGGACTGTATACAATGTGTATATATATATATATATATATATATATATATATATATATATATATTATATATATATATATCTCCTAGAAGTGAGCCCCCCCTCCCCTGGACTGTATACAATGTATATATATATATATAGTATATATATATATATATATATATATATCTCCCAGAAGTGAGCCCCCCTCCCCCGGACTGTATACAATGTATATATATATATATATATATATCCAGTATCTCCTAGAAGTGACCCCCCCTCCCCCGGACTGTATACAATGTATATATATATATACACAGTATCCCCAGAAGTGTGTGTCCCCCCCCTCACATTTTTGCAAATATTTGATTCTATCTTTGTGCTGCAGCTCAGTTTCAGGGTCCTGGAAATCTTCTTATAGCCTCGGCCATCTTTATGTAGAGAAACAATTCTTTTTTTCAGATCCTCAGAGAGTTCTTTGCCATGAGGTGCCATGCTGAACTTCCAGTGACCAGTATGAGAGAGTGAGAGCGATGACACCAAATGTAACCCAAAATAAGATTAAAAATTAGTGAAGCGCTTGTATCACATGAATACAATCATGTATCTCCATATAGTGTAATTATAAATCAAAGTGACCACTATATATAATAAATGTGTGTTGACTCCCTCTAGTGAAAAGAAAAAAATAGTGTCAACCAAAATAGCTAAATAACACACATTAGGAAACTAAATATATAGTGCATAAATCAAATATAATGAACAGAATATATATATACGTGAAAACAGAATATTGGCCACATACAATGGTGTCTAAATTATACATAAATGATATTTGCCATAGGTGAACAAGGACAATATCAAAGGTGAAAAAAAATTATTCCATGCATGTGACTGTGCTTTAAGCTGGAACACACACGTGATCTCCACTTCTAAGTGCAAGTACTCTCCTTCAAATGGCAGCAATGCCTGCTCACCTCCCTTCCTCGACCCACACAGGGCCTCAAAGCAGTTACCACCTCAGTGGTGTATTCCTCTGGCAGACTCCTTATTCCTCCTCCTCTCTTATGCAACTCATAAAAAGACAAGAAAGCCTTCCATAGTGTAGTAAATTTAATAGGCAAAGTTAAAAAAATTACAAAGTTTTCCACTCACATGCTCCTTTCCATAAAAAAAGCGTTTTTCCCAGCTGTGGGTAGATATGCATGCACCTGGGGGAATCCAATATGGCCACTGTGTCCGGACATACGTCACCAGGAAGTAGACAAACCGACGCGTTGCGTCACGTGCGTCGTGACTTCATCAGGGTTACCGCCCCCTGGTGACTCAATGGTATTTATAGAGAAAAAAAAAAAAAAAAAAAGAGAGAAAAAAAAAAAAAAAAAAAAAAAAAAAAAAAAAAAACCTAATTGGATTCCATTGTGAGAGCAGGCATACGGCGGACATCTTATTAGAGTCCTGCTCTCACATACATGAATCTATCCCATATACGAATTCTAGTGCTGGATACCAGATATAAATCTCCATATGTCATATTCAAGATATACACATATAGGAGTAAACAAATTATATATTTAAGCCTATATGAACCACATCTACATCTTTAATGGTGCAATAACACCAAAATCATAAACTTTATTAATCATAAATATTAAAACCATTAATCTTAGTGGGCTTCCTTATTAAGTAGATATATAAAACATAAAAAAAAAAAAAAAAAAAAAAAAAAAAAAAAAAAAAAAAAAAAAAAAAAAAAAAAAAAAAAAAAAAAAACGCATGAGGGTACATGTTCCCTCATGCGTTTCCAAAAAAAAAAAAAAAAAAATAAATAAAAATATAAATATAAAAAATAGATAAAAATAAAAATAAAATAAAAATAAATAAATAAAAAAGTAAATCATTAATAAATAATGAAGAAAAAAAAAAAAAAAAAAAAAAAAAAAAAAAAAAAAAAAAAATTAAAAATATATATCTACACGACCATTGTAAATTAATTCGAATGAATGCTCAAAGAGCTCATTAAATACCGATTTAAAAGAACAAATTAAAAATAAAAATAAATAAGTGGCATGCACAAATACCAATAGCTTGGGTTTACAAAAATACATTCGTTATATTAACAGAATTAAAAAAATATAATATGTAAGTTAATATTACCAGAGATATTTTATATGTAAATTGCTGTTACCAGATCAATTTTCTAACATTTAAAATTCAAATTTAAAAATCGCTAATAAAACAGTTGAGATCAAACTCAATATTAAGGCCATGCGGTGCCTGTGTATGCATGGTATACATCCATCTCGACTCTGCCTGACTAAGGGATTTAATCTTATTACTCCCCCTCCAATGACTCACACATACTTCTGTATACCCCAAAATTTGAGTCCTGAAGGGTCTTTATTATGCTGTTTTAAAAGTGCCGGGAAAACGCTATGTTTAGGGAACCCCTTTTTTATGTTTTGTACATGTTCCCTCATGCGTTTCCACATAGGCCTTTTAGTTCTTCCTATATACTGATAACCACATGCACATTCAAGGCCATAAACTACTCCCTCTGTATGGCATGAAATGAAATCTTTGATCTTATATATTGTGCCATCATAGTTGGCCTTGAAAGTGTTACATTTGCCGTTTTTTCCTTTGGTTGCTCTGCATGCGTAACATTTTCGGCACGGAAAAAAACCTACTTGGTCAAGAAATGTAATGCTCTTCTTTTTGACTGGTGGATCAAGTACATTTTTAACTAGTTTCGTCCTCAGGGAAGGGGCCTTCCTATATATAAATTTTGGATTATCTCCCAAAATCTTATTTAGATCAGGGTCCGTTTTAAGAATAGACCAATGTTTAGAGAATATTTTCTCGATTTTTTTATAATGGACATTGTAGTCTAGAATAATTTGCCATTTGACTCTCAAAGTTCTCCTTTTTATTTTTGTCTACAATCAGTGACTCCCTCTCCATATTTTGAACTTCAATTATTCTCTTCTCTATTTCTTTTTCAGGGTAGCCTTTTTTGATAAACTTATCTCCTAAAGTCTTTGCTTGTTTCTTGTACTCTTCCTTATCAGAGCAATTCCTTCTCAACCTCACTAGCTGGCCCTTTGGTATATTATAGAGCCATGGGCGGTAATGGCAACTGTCTGATGGTATGAATCCATTACGATCCACTTCTTTAAAATAAGTATTTGTGTAAATTTTCCCTTGTTGATTCATAATGTTAAGATCCAAAAAATTAATCCTCTCATTATCAAAGGTCCAGGAAAATTTAATATTTTTCATATTATTATTTAATCCATTCAGAAAATATTAATCAACAGTTGTCTACTTCCCTTCCAAATGATGATAACATCAATCAATATATCGATAATATGAGATAAGTTCACATGGGGTTTGTTTATAGATGGCTTCCTCCTCCCAGTGGGCCATATACAGGTTGGCAAACACTGGGGGCAAACCTTGCCCCCATCGCAACACCCCTAATCTGCTGGAAAAAGGTATGATTGTGCCAGAAGTAATTATGTAAAAGACAAAACTCTAGACACTCCAATGTAAATTTCCTTTGAACTCGTTGGATATCACTATACTTTTCAAGTCCCCACTTCACTGCATCCATTGCTCCATCATGGTCAATAATGGTGTACAGCGAAGTTACGTCTGCACTTGCTAAAATTATTTCTGGATGACCCTCAATTTTTTCTAATATTTGAATTAAATGTTTCGTATCCCGTAGGTACGCTTTAGTTCTTTTAACTACTGGCTGTAGATAGAAATCCACATATTGACCAAGTCTTGATAGAACGGATTGGATACCGTTCACTATTGGTCTACCTGGTGGATCCTTCACATTCTTGTGTATTTTCGGTACAGTGTATATCACTGGAATACGGCAAGTTTCAGGTATCAGATATTTGGTTTCCTTTTTGTTCAAGATTTTTTTATTTTCCCCTTTTGTTACAAGTTTGACCAATTGTTTCTTATATGACAACGTGGGGTCTTTAGACATAACTTTATAAGTGGTATCATCTGCCAACTGTTGAGCTAATTCTTGTAAATAATATTCTTTGGATAACACCACTATGCCCCCTCCCTTATCAGCAGGCCTGATGACTATATTGTCTCTCTTAGTAAGTCTATTAATCCCTGTTTGAATGCCTATATTATTTATGCATTTATACCATCAGACAGTTGCCATTACCGCCCATGGCTCTATAATATACCAAAGGGCCAGCTAGTGAGGTTGAGAAGGAATTGCT